ATTTTATGTAGGCTGGGAGACCATACTGGATCTGTTATTCTGCGCCGTTCGAAAGGATCATTTTCCCATTCTCCTTTGGCAAGCAAAAATCGGACAGTGGTATCTTTTGGCAACTGGGGTTCATTAATACCAATCGGACGATTATATTTTACTGATGGCTTGGAATACACCCGTTCAAGTTTCATGGCATCATTAGGGCTCATTCCAATTAACCGAGTTGAGGTATTATTCATATTATCAACAATTTTACGTGCAAATCGCTCACACTTTACCACTAGGTAAGAGAAATTCTATCGCATACTGATTCTTAAAAACTCTCAAAGTGAAAAGTCCAGCATAACGGTCGACAATTGCTAAGCTAGTATGTCTGAAGCGAGCTTTGATTCTTCTAATCCTAACTCCATGCTTATTCATTAATAAAGTAACATTACCCATAAATGAACGATCTTCATCACATTGCAACAATCGAGGATATGTAAGAGGATTATTAGGATTTTCATATATACTCCTAAATGCATCTGCAACTTCTGAGCTATTTTTGGATGTTAAAAAAACGAAATCTCTAAACCTACTAGCACAATCTATAATTAATAAAACATAATAAAATATTTCATTGTTTTCATCCGATAAATTTGTGTTCTCGAGCAAATCTTCATCATATGGTATTTCAACTAAATCGCACATATGTACACTGTTTGGTTTTGAGATCCTAGAATAGCTGGTATAAGGTATATTCTTTGGTGAAGGGCGATAAATTTGATGCATTTTCTGAGGTTCGAGCCATTTTTTTATTATGGCAAGTGGAAAGTTATATCCAGCCTTTCTACAAACATCTCGTAATCTTTCAGCATTTTGGTAATAACCTTCAGGGCAATAGTATAATTTTTGTAGAACAATTTCTCTATCTAAATCATGAGCTCTTTGAGGGTCAATATAAATTACAGGTTCTCCCATTACTTTGATTTATTATAAATAACAAAAATTCGTCATGGATGAATTAATACAGACAAATCAGGAGCTCCATGAGGAAATTGACCGATTGGCTCAATCAAACAGAGACTATGAACGCCGAACATACAATCTTGAACGGGATATATAGTTTTACGTGAGGAAAGAATTCGATATCTCGAAGAGGAGTTAGCAAATACAATCGAACTTTCAATACAAGAAAGGGAGGAATTGGAAAAAGAGATATCAGACCTAAAAAAAATCGTCTATCGTCTT